TATATATATATATATATATATATATATATATATATATATATATATATATATATATATATATATATATATATATATATATATATATATATATATATATATATATATATATATATATATATATATATATATATGTATATGTATATGTAAATGTAAATGTATATTTAAATGTATATTTAAATGTATATGTATATTTATATATATAATAAGAAATGTTGTTTCTGTACCGATGTATATTTTTGGTGCAGTGAACATTTTTCTGTATTCGGATCTCGAAATCAATCGTTGCTGACCGTATCTGAATTGGCAGGATGTACGCTTTCTTCTCCAACGACTTCGCGGAGGATCGATGGAGCACCGCCGCAGAAAAGAATGCTTATGTACTTCTTGGGCAACAACGCTTCGTCCACGCTGCTGCTTTCTTTCTGCTATCGGGGAACATCAGGTAAGCTATCCGACCTGAATTCGCATATGAGATATCGATTGCATTGCATGCTTGAGCGAGCTGTTCTCAAGAATTGCTCGGAAGTTGTCTCGCACCACCCTATTGACGTCTATAGATTCAATTTATCACATGTACATTTCATCAATTAATAGTTTGCATGCCAAAAATGTAAACGTAGTCTATTGCGTGTTATTTATGCCTTACACAAATGTTGTTCTCACATTATTCCTACTGAACAGAGATGCTGCATCTGTTTGCGTAAAACACCTACACGACATGCAGATGGCTGTGGTGACTGTGCGCTTATATGAGGGTGACAATGGTATGTTCATGTCGATATCTTATCCTGATCCCCTTTATTTGCTCACGTTGGCTCTGTACGTCTGACAACGTCCGTATCTGGTGAATATAAACTTTCTTAGTAGGCATTGCCAATTGGTGATTATCTTAGTGATGCATATACAAATATGTTACTCGCTACGTACTAGTGCGGCATAAATTTATTCAACTTCTCTTAACACTTCAAATCAGGTGAAACGATGCGATGGCTATTCACTGAACACTTCCTACCGCGATATGAAAGCGAAAAGAACATTGCGATGCAAAGCATCGGACACTGGCTTCTCAAAGACTATCCAGAGGTTAGTTGGTGTCAATCTCCTAGTTGTAGAGTAGCATTTGCGGATAAATTTTGAAATATTCAAGCATATCTCCCACATCAGTTTAGTTCACATCTATGCATGTTGGGTAAAGGCTTCCTGAATATAAATTTGTAGATTGCTATTTATTTTTCTTATTTTTGTAGGCCCTGCGCTGCTTGTTCAACGAACCTTGGCATCGCACGGTGGATACCCCAAATAAGGATTCGTCTCGCTCTCCGTCGCCTTATAATGATGTAGACGACACCAAAAGTTCAGCCGGGGAAAGTATAAGTCACATGAGAGCCATGCAAGGTATGCTTCACCTGGATTCCAGAATCGCCTTGGCGTGTGTATTGCAACCTATTTTTGGTATTTGCGCTATGAGTTGTGGTTGGGCAGCTGTCTAACCAGTATCTGCTTTTTCTAGTATAGAGCGATATATCTTCAATTTATGAGTACAAGTTTTGCCACTTGACATGTATCGATTCTAACTTGCCTTCTTGTATTTTGGCCAAATGCACAATAATTAGCATTCGGCAGCACCGTGAGAAACAATCAGGATTTGGCGCATAAGACAGCAGCTGCATCTGGCATGGTCAACCTCACTATCAAAGCCTCGTTGGGCCGATATGACGAGTGGTATAATCCTATCATCACCAATTGCGCCCTATATCTACGCGGTGTGTGGATTTCAATTTGGGTTCTAGAGCCTCAGGTCTGCGCCATACAAGGGCACCATTGTATTTTAGCTAGCGCGCTCTCGATACACATCACATAATAGTGGGTCTATTTCTTTCTCAATCTTTCTATAGTCATCTTATGACAGCGATTCTCATAACCCCATTTCCTCACATTTGTTCCCTTTTAGGCCATACACTTTTGCAGAATGTAACACTGAACAGAGAGAAAGTTATACGACGTGTTGCCGAAGCGATGTATTCAGAGCTACATACAGGATGTATGATGGTGGCGATTGAAACTTTGTCTGTGCTAAGAGATGGCGCGGAAGATCTATGTCTCGCTCCTGCGGTACGGAGTTCATTTTTTGTGATTTGTAGTAATTGTGCGACCACTCAAGGTGTAGTGCAATGTATTTATATTACAAGAGATGTTGGTATTGTCAATATATTCGTTGTGGCGCTCGTTGGCTGTTTCGAGTATCGGATTGGCGATGTACATACGACGCGTCTTTCGAGCTATCATTGCCTGGTTCGTCGACTAATTCTTATTGTCATCTCATCAGGGCCGCGAGCTCAAAGTTATGGACGAGGAGACACTCGCTAAGCAAGCGGCGACGTCGATTTCCACGGTCAAAAAAGTAGTAGCACCGAATGCCTTTGAATTTGACATGGGTGCATTCGGTGGCTTCGATGATTTTGCGGAGGAAGAGGAAGAAGAGATGGAAGAGGTGGAAGAGATTATCGCAGAAGAGAAATCGGACGATGTCCACGATGTCACACAGAATATTGTATGCGATATACTTGGGATCTCTGTCGCGCACCAGGTATGCTGCGTTTTTTCGTGGTTCCTTTTATTCTCTATAGCTTTGCTGGTCTCCTTCCAGTGTGTGTTGCCGCTCCTGTGTGAGTGATAATTTGAAGGCTCGCTGGCTGTCTGGATGTGCATCTGCCTGATAGGGTGTGCAATAATGATGTTTAGAAAATTTTGTATTGCAGTCTTTTCTCTACGACCTGTCAGAATCCCTATGCGTTCTTGCACACTTCGGACCTCTATAAACTGTGCCGTCTTTGCTATTATTAGTAGAATCGCCATGATGATAGTGCGACAACTCTACTCATCGAATTCTTACCTACACAGATTGGTCTCCGTTTATTGATTCGCTCTATGGAACAAATGCGGAGTACTGCGAGCTGGACTATAGTAAGTCCATACGTGAGAGCAGAGGCCCAGATGCTCAAGGACAGTTATGGGGTAGTAGGGCATGGAGCAGACTCGGCGGACAAGGCTGGAGCTGAAGCATTACTTGATGCTCTGTCATTTTACTATCGCATGCATGATGATTTGACCATAGAAATCAAGATGCTGGGCGTGCTTGGATATTACAATCAGGTAAGACAGTTATCTGCACACCGAACCATTCACCCGCGTACTCGCTATCGCACACGCACACTTTTCCGTCAAAGGGTATGCGGTACGCGCATTCGTTTGATGGGTGACTCGATCATGTTGAGAGTTATATTCAATCACGTTGAAAATTGAACCCCTATCACTCTACTCTCCTTGCTGGTAAATTTCACAAATTTGTCTTTTTTTCTTTCCACCTTGCAGATACTGTTTCAGCTGCAAGATCAATCACGCAATCTAGTTCTAGGTATCCCACATGCTACCTATATGCGTCGTCCGATCTCGCGGGAGGCAGGCGCTACTAAACATAAATTCAATGAATCTGACGCTCCCAGCATCACTGTGTCGGAAGTCGATGTGCTGTCTAAGAAAAATGTGAATCAGATAGATATGACTGGTGTGTAGTTCTACGAATCGATACCTCACCAAGGCTCATGTGATTTTCACTCTATGCGGTTTTCAATCAGCAACTATTGTAGTGCGTCGTACGGCCCTATTCGACTGTTCTACAATAGAGATACACAGAAGGCTTCTCTAATATACTGCGATGCTCTCAAACTATCCCTTGTTTATAGGTATCGATAGTGTGTGGCCATACTACGCTATGGATTCTTAGCAAATTTTGCCTTCCTCATAACGATGTATTATCTTGCCTTCTTTCCTTATAGCTGCTGCCACACTGCTTGCCGATACGGATGACGTGCCTTCCGCGTATCTCTTGCACGTTTTCGAAAAAACCTCATATACGATTTCGGACAGCGTCTTCCAACTGCTATCGAATTCGGCACTTCTTCCTAAACATGAACAAATGAGTGAGCGGTTGCTATCCCTGCGACTTCTTGGGGAGAGTTTTCTTGTAGTCTATGCCGGTCTATTCGTTTCATCATGGTGGAGTCGGGGCTTAGATTTGATGCAAGATTTGCTGGTAAATGTACCCAGTCAAGGCCTCTTCAGAGAAGTATTCGAAAACAAAGGAAACCCCAAGAAGGTATGACCGTGTCACACCTCCACCAATAGCTGAACATCCGTAGGATGATTCGTCCCGCCCCCCCTCCCCCCCTTTCCCTTCTCCTTCAATTCCCAAAAAAGTGTGTCCGATTATTATTTTGCATGTTCACGGCCTATTACTGTAGCTTGATTCATATTCTACTGTCTTAGATACAGCGCAGTTCTGTTTCACATGTCGCATGACGACGAAGATTTACTAATATTCACTTGCCTCGCATCTCCCAATAGAAACGGTTCAAAAAGAATCGCTCTCACAATCCAGCAGAGGCCGCAAATTCGGGGCTGTCGCATTCTGGGTTGAAGCTCGCTCAGGTACCCATGGACCCTGATAAAAAGCCAACTTTCGATCTCAGACCAGTATTGATGACGAAATACTTTCTGAGACAGATAGACTTCAACGATTTTAGCGATGCTGGATACGGATCAGACGACGATTCAAGCGACGACACTATGAGTGTTGCGAGTGGTGACAGCAATATCTCGGCCAAATTGTTGGATGCTGTGTTAAATGTAGGCTTAGAGTGGAAATAGTCATTGACGCTCTGTGTGCTAATCATAATATCAATTGCTGTGGTTAATTGAAAGTTGTCTTGACTTTGTGTTACGGGCGGAGAAAATCATTCACGCTCTTCGCGTTAATCGCATCACTGTTTGCTGTTTTATGGTGTGGTCATATTTGCCCAGGCTCGATTGGCGTATTCGTTAAGTATCTACTAATTATATGTGCTTTCGGTAGCATAACTTTTCAATTCTAAGAAATGTTATTTCCAAGCAGATTGCTTCGCCTGTGTTTGGCATACTCTTGGGGCTCACTTAAATCAAGCTCATGTATATGCCTCACGTTCTCACTTAGGAGGATAAAAACAAGTTAAATCCGGATAAAGTTCGAGAGCGAAAAGAACGAGACGCATATGTTTATGCTGTCTTACGCTTAGCATGTGTACATCTGGTTACAGTAAGCATGCAACGCTTCATCGTTGACATGGAGCTGGGCGACATGGCAGGTAAGTTGGTATTTTCCACCATTTATGACTATATCGTCGCATATCGGTGTTAATATTGCAGCTATTTTTCTTTCTTCTGATGCTGGTATGTTATCGGCTATTTGTTTGTTTTGCGCACTGACGTCTGTTCTCTATTCCGACAGGTTTGTACGAAACATCGCCACTGTTGTATAGTCTTCTAGTCGTTTTCGAGGCGTGGGGTGATCAAGTGCAGGACTATACAATGCGACTGCCGGCGCCCAAGAATATCCTGATGCTGGATGATTACAATCGAAATACGGAACCCGAGTTTCCACAGTCTGCGCATACTCCGCGTGAAAATTTCCTGAATATCCCCACCTCGTTCGGGGGTGGGTCTTCAGGGGATTCTACCAATGTTTCACGATCAACCAGTGCAGCCAATTCGCGATCTGCATCACCCGCCGGGGGTGCTGGATGGGAAAGCGAGAAGGAAACAGAAAAAAACCCTTTCACGAAGAAACGCCCGATCAGGAAAACTAGTAGTCAGCATAAGCTGACCGCACTTTTAGACCACAAGAATAATCCTTTCAGAAAGCACAACCCAGTTTTAAGGAAATTATGGTGAGTGTTTCGGTGGTATCGACCATGTCGATGAGCAAACATATTAAGTTACAAGCACAAGTTTATTCTCATATTAATTCTTCGTGATTCTGATCGATCTCGCTGTCTACTCATTCCTTCTTGTATCCTAAAATCTATGTCCAGGTACTATGTTATAAGGCAAGAGTCTGTGCGCCCTATTCTTATCCGATTACTTTTTCATGAAGAATTCGAACCTGAAGTGCGGGATCCCGAGCTGGGAGAAGAGTTGTTCCGCGATACTGATTCTGTGCGTTCATTCTGTCTAAATGGATTAGACAGTACACAGTTTGCCGTGTGTACAGGTACGAATACAAAGTTTGCATATTCTCTAGAATATTATTAAGTTTGGCGGCTGCACCTCCTTTGATTGTCAAGCAGAATTTGAATCTCACAGGATCAAAGCCACAATGCAAGTGTATTCTCAGGTCAACTCTTCGTGTAGTTTTTTCATCTCTCCTCTTTAGCAATAGTTTCATGTATTTATTTACCTGGTGTAATACGTTGTATATTTAGACCACATTTCTCTCGGTCTGTAAATTAAGTTTGTATTTTATTTCATTTTCGAGAATCCCCTATTATGTCGAATATGAGAACATGCGTCTGGTTCAGTACTGTGCGAATCTGCTTACTGTACGTATCTTATCTGTATCTTTGAACAGTGACAGTGAATTATCGCACTGCTTTATGTGGCTCGATATACTGCTGTATATTTGTTGCGGCATTTCACTCATGTGCATACATTGATGTCGCGAGTGTTCCATATTTGTCTTGTATAGCTAGTAATGTATGCAATATTATATATATATATATATATATATATATATATATATGTATGTATGTGTGTGTGTGTGTGTGTGTTCATACCTAGTCCAAGATAGTTGCTTTATATATGTATGCATTCCTTGGATATATGAATATGAAACACTTTGTTCAGGATAAATTTACATCGAAGTGTAAAGTGTACACACATACAAGTATTGCAAGGCCATATATATTTTAAGAAGTACTACATATATACAATATTTGTAACATTATTTTTGTTTATTTATATTTTTGGTATGCTATTGTGAGTTATGATATGTTTGATAATGCTATTGTGAGTTGTGTAGAAATTTGCGACGTATACAGAAATCATTAATTATTCCGATTCACATTACCTATTGATTTGTGAACTACCCACGGATGTGTTTTATACATATAGATGAGTTTATCATGGTTTATTTTGATGCCTCACTTACGTTCCACATTGGTTATCTATATTTGAGTGCAAGTATTCAATTTAATATGGTACAATCATTCTATATGTGCATATCAGTCCTTGCTTATTATACAAAATTAAGAGAGCATGAAGATGCAGATGCTTGAATGCCAATTTACAGCTCTAGGACAAACTCACGGAGCAAGTTTATACACGAGTATATATGTTTAACAGGTAGTGAAGTCAACTCATGAGGTGCTATCCGCGCCATATAAATGCACAAGGCCGGAAATGAATAATATATCGATGATATTTGTCGCGACTATCAATACCACAGGTAAGGGATCGCATTGGCGCACACCTCAAAAAACTAGTAGCAACCAACGGATACCGCTAGTAGCTGCATTGAGGAGAAGAAGCATGGCAGCCGCGAATAAGAATCTGAAACGGGAGCAGGTAGTAGTAAGAATGTGCTTGATACATTTGGTGATTGTGAGACATATCCGACATGAGTTTCCCAAGGGACTCAATAAGAATATAGCGATGCACATACTAATATGAAAGGGGGTGTGGATTGGTTTTAATTTTAGGCTGATCTCAAATCTGTAAAGTTTGACACCAGCACTTGCCCTGTGCCGCATTGCCGTGATCAATTCTTTGAATGCTAGTGTTATGATATTATTCTAAGGTAACCCTAGGTTGATCTTTGGTAACTCATCTGTGTGCTTCTTTTCTTTTGATAACCATGAGCAACAGAAACAGCAGGAAAGACAGATTCGCCGTGAAAGGAATACAGCCAGGGAGGCACAAAACATGATAAAAAGGGCGCACCGGGCGGCGCAGAATAGTGCCATGGCGAATGCTAGTTCGTCAGATGACATCCGAGGCTTCGCGAATGACGTAGCAATTAAAATAGGGAGTAGCTCAGACATTGGGGATTCGAAGGGGCTATTGCCCGGATCAGTAGACTCCTTCGCAGACTCAGACGATGAAAATGAATCTGCTAGTCCCATGACTCGATCAGGTATCACTTTGTGGTGTATGCATTTTTCAATGTTTGTAGCCAGTTGGTAGATCTGGATTTGAATCCGGGTTATTTTTGGAACCTGTGTGGAAGCGCCGACAAGGGGTCTCCAGCGACGCCACTTGCCGCTGCATATCGCCTTATAATTTTTGATCTCTTCGACTTATGTGCCTCGTCATCCTTGTTTTGCAGCTCGCAGATCTCCGCAAGGACATCCCAATAGCACCCTGAGTCGACACACACACAAAAACACGCTGAAGATGCACAGAGAGGAATCTGCGGAATCGACTGCTTCGGGTGGATTCGTCTCATTGGCATTGGAGCAAGTGCCGCATTCTGCTACGCCAAGCCTGGCTTTACAACGCAAGAAGGACACAACGCAGGTAGGCCTCTCTTACAAGTGACCTTGTTGTGGTGTGAGATATACGATATGGTACTTACATGATAGTACATTTTCGTCAGCATTGTATTTCTGTGCGAGTATCCAAAGTACATTCATTTTTTGACCGAATTGTTTGGCAGTACAATCAGTATTGCTCGTGCAATACAATTTGACGGTTCTTTGACTTTGTTTTTTTTAGCATCTAGTTCTGATTGAATTGCAAAGTTTGTCAACGACATAGGAATTAGCATCTTTAATCACCTCATTATGATTACTGACAGATAAATGTGCTCGAGGCGCACCCAAAGATGCCGTACTACTTAGCCGGTTCAATTGATGGACGTGTACAGATGTATCTTTTCAGCCAGGAAGGTGCACAATATGAGTTTCAGGTAAAACAAATAGTTTTTTGCTGATAGTAGCCTAAGCTATATAGGGTTGTAAATGATTTTCCATGTTACTTTTGTGGCGCCGTAGCCGTTTCTTTCATTCGTACGAAGGACTACCGTCGATCATTGCGTGGTCCTATGTACATTGTGCGCAATCTTGTTCTATTGGGGATTAAATTTGTGCCATCATTCAATCACTACACCCCCCCCAATCCAGGGAATTGGGAAAGCTGCGATCACGAGTATCCGCTTCGACATGTTTGGAAACAAGTTCGGGGCCTGTGATCAGAAAGGGAAATTCGGCATGTGGCGATTCGGGGCCGAAGCGCAGTATCACGCACCATTGCGCACGGTGCAAGCACATACCAAATTCGCAACCGATTTTACATTCCTCAATTCCACCTCATTCGTTGCAACGGGTGGAAGCTCGGTAAATAGCCGGAATGTGTGCTTGTGGGACTTCCTTGTTCCCCCTCAATCATCCTTAGTGAAGGGCTTTCAGTGCCACACAACTGGCCACTCAACATCGTTGGCATATGCCTCTGGACGACAGGTAAGCGAGTCCTTGAACCGTCTTTTGTGCTGTGCTTCTACGTAATTGTGGTCAGCCTACCACAACGCACTTAATAGAAGTCGGTATATTATTGCTAAGCCAGTAAGTAGTGGAAAAATTCTCCAATCGTGTATTGTTGTGTGCAAGATGGTGTGATCTGAACTATGCAATACCTATTTTGCTTAAATGTCTGACTGAGTTTGTTTGACTTGTCTGACAAGGTTTTGGTTGTGACTATATAGTCCTCGCGCACAATTTCTCATATTCCGGAAATCTTCAACAGGCTCTGCTGTCTGGGGGAAAGAGAGGTGACTTGACGCTCTTTGACATACGTCAGCGTCGAATCCTACATCGCTTTAACGCACATGATGGACCAATTACCAGCATCGCAGTGGACAAAAGTGAACAAACGATCTTCACGGGAAGCGCTGACGGTACCGTGCGAATATGGGACATGGACACGCACGAACAAATGAATGTTATGAATGCGCACAAACGAGAACGCTCATTCCTGAGCATGGGCAGTGACTTAGGGGTCAGCGAGGTCAGGTACCACGATGATTTCCTCTACACTTGTGGTAGTGATGGCTCTGTCCGCCGCTGGGGTTGAGTCGCAAAAGTAGAACGCATTTCGACTTTGAAAGTAGAGTTGAATAAGAGAATTTAAAGATAATTAAATACTTGCGTTAAGTGTTCCTATACACTATTTAATGTGTTGTTCCGTTTCTAACAGCGCGACGAGGTGTAGGTGTCGTAATAGCGAGCTTTGAAGTGTGCGTTGCTGGATTCATATCCAGCTGTGGTCTCGTAAAAAAATGCTGCTGCGCATCACACAGACGAACGATGCATGGTGGTGCACTGCCCACCAACGGCGAGCTGATACTTCACGACCACTATACGGGACGATAGCATATTTTTGAGTAATGACTCGGCTACTTCTCAATGCCACGCCTTGCACTGCATTTCTGTTGAATATACCGCGGATGCTGGGGAAGTCCTACTTGTCCATATATGGCTGAAAACACTGCCCCGCGCTGTACTTCCAGCACATACGATTTATTCTATCCAAGTCGTCGAAGCGTTGATGAGTGCTGCAACGGCGTGCTGTGATTTATCGCCGAGCGGCCCTATCGTACCGAAGTCAGAGTTCTATACAAACAGCAGTTTTCATGTTAATGCTCTAAAGCTAAATCATCTGCGTTCACTTCAAAAGTAAGTAGCATATTGGCGAGAGTGCGATATATATTAACGGTCATGATAGCATCGAGGATTCCCTTTTTTCCGTAACTATTCAGAGTCTCTGTCGTCTCTTTTCCTAGGGCAGTTTTATCAAACAACTCATCAGCGCACATAACCATTAGTTCATCCGTCGTACAACGCCAGCTGCCGTCTATCTTCCGTATTTCATCTAATTCTTGCTGCGTGATTCCCACCTTCTTCCCTCGAATAACATGATGCTCCCACTCGTACGCACAATCCATTCGAAACGCAATCCGCAGGATGAGAAGTTCATGGCATCTCGGTGGCAGGCTGTTGGAGTTAACGACGTGTTCCCTCAGGGGCCAGTACGCTTTTAAAAGCGCCGGATGGTTCGCTACTAGACCATGTATATTGAGCAAGGCCCGCGAGCGCCCAATGATATCGTTGGTAGTATCGTCGATCTCATCAATTTCAGACCTACTTAGAGGACGCAACATACTGACGAAGCTGCATCTCTTATACAAAAGAGAAATGTAGAAGCGAGTATGGAAGGCTATGTTGGTATTTATGTACAAATTATTATATTTATTTCTAATTTTATTTTCGTGACATTTCAACTTTTCAAGAGACCAGAAAAACACTCTCTTGTGTTTTAGCTGCTACACAGATGACACAGAACTTCTAAACAGCAAAAGGTTTATTAAAAGTTTCACTGTACAGACGAGATACTTCAAGGTTGAAGTGCATTATCGAACTATTATTTAATTTACAGACTAAAGTTCAGACAGGCTCATCAATAAATGGTGGTCCATGTGCTGATGAGCCGGTGATTTAGGACCGAGGGTCTAGGTGCATGCGCCTGGGTGCAGAGCCTAGGGCCATTCTGTCCACCCTTATAAGACAGCCCCGGGGAGACTCGTGGTTATGGCTCGAAAATTCAGCCGGTCCGAACTCCCGCATGAGGGCCGTCCACACAGGAATAAGACCATCAACTTGGCCGGGGGACTGTTTGAGAATTTGAAAAGGCAAAAACACCCGTCTCAAAAGGAATCAGGAAAGAGTAGTCAGAATCGCACTCCGCTGGTGTACATAGCTCAACCAGGCGCCGCATCCAGCAGCATAGTGGAGATATGCTTTAGCTCCCAAACCAGGAGCTATTCAGCCCTGTAGGAGGCATCAGAGGCAAACCGGTAGGCACGTTTGACTTGGCTCAGCGTAGACGAATAGTTGGGAACTTCGGATGCCTTGGAGGCCATGAAAGTCTCATAGACCGGCGTAAAATCACTGGTGCGCACATGGCTATAACGGCTACAGAGGCGGGTCCATTTCACATAAGCACAATTGAGATCATACTGGAAACGAATCGCAACCGCTTATGTACAGTTCGGAAAGCAAAGGTAAGTGCCTGACGTTCCGTCTCCGTGATTGTGTTGGCGTAATCGGAATCGTGAAACAGAAAATAGGCATAGATGAAGTTGGCAGTCGTGCCCCTGGAAAGCATTTCATCCAGGCCCACCGGCGGGGTATACGCTTTAAGGTTCTTATTATGAACCCTGTACTCTTTGTTAATTGACAGGTCTTGGATATAGTGCATCATGGAGGCCACGTGGGCCAGTACAATCGCCGGGCCAAGCAAGTCCTTCGCAAACTTGTGGGGGAGGGGGCTTATAGTTGGCGAAAAAAATAGGTATCTCCCAGCGCCAAGTATGCTGGAGTCCGACCGACAGGCATCGCTTCGTACAGTAAATCAAGGTACATAGGAAACTATTATTCCATTGCCAGCATGTTCCCCGGTTGAAACATAGTGAATCCGTGCGCCATTGTCAGCAGCGTACTTCGTATACTCGTCGCTACGCATCGTACTATCTTTGTCCATAACATACAGTTGAATATGTCCCCGCGGCCAGAGTTGTTCGTCGCAGAATTTGATCAAGAAGGTCGCCGTATGCTGATCCGATCGTATATATGTGTCGGTGGCGAAAAGCGGGAACCCATGCCGCCAGGATAGTGTTGTAGCCCTCCGCTTCAGGGTTAACCGAAAGATAATCAAGGTTAACCTCCCCCCCCCCCCCAATTGTGGTCGGGCAAGTCGGTTGCTGCAACAAGCCTTTCTTCCGGCCACCTTGTAGGCCCGTCCGTATGCATTCTGTGGTCAAAACCAAGTTACACTTAATTAAGAGTGTTAAGTCTGAAATAAGTGAACTCAGTCAGAAGGGCCATTGGGAATGGCGCGCCTGCTATATTTATTAATCACGATCCTATGTGGAACGAGACTTTCATTACCATCGGGTTATGTGAAAATACCCTCTCTATG